GGCGGGTCTCGAACCCGCGGGCTCAGGCAATCCACTCACCTCAGCCTCCCAAAAGCGCGGGATTACAGGCTGAGCCACCGAGCCCAAGCTGTCACTTCTCTCTGCTGCTAGTGCTCTGTGGGCTCCCTGCACAGTCATAATTCACTATCTATCTGCTGTGTTCTGTAAGTAACAAATATGTCTACTAATATTCTGTCTAAAATAATAACTTTTTAAAACACACCTTTGAGAGGGGCCCAAGAGGCTTTACTTTGAATTAATGCATACACTTTGCATTATCATCTTTGAATAACTGGAGGGAGGCCTTCTATGTTAATTTTCTTGTTCAGAGCTGTGTTCCCAAAAACTGGTAGAAAAATAGGTAGTTGCCAATAACTAAAGTATTAATGAGCACATGAACATAAAATCAAGGTATAACTAATATTTAGAAATATAGAAAATTATGTCTGTGTTGATATAACCATTCCAAACCTAATCAAGTGGTTATTAAAGATAATTTCCATTTTGGAGCTCTTGGCAAATCAAAAGAGAATTAAGTTTTAATTCTCAAAATAAAAGACCAAGAACAGTAACATTTACCAACTAGCCACTTGGGCTATAGATACAGTTGGTGACAAAAGGCCAATTATTTCCCCACTTTGGAAACTACTAGATTTACTGGTATAACTTTTTTTCCTAATGATTTAAATCACTAGCTGAAGCAGGGTTATAGCAGTCCTTTAATTCCAGTGTATCAGGGTTATAAATTTTTTTTATGATATGCCAGGAAGGGGTAGGTTTGGTGGATGAGAAGTAGCAGTGACTCTCATGAATAACTGGGAACAAGTTTGGTGATGGAAATTCACTCACCTAGCAGCAAAATTAGGGCTCCCTGCCACTGTGAGCATGAGGGCCAAGATTCTGCCCCTCACTCTAAGTCATGGATGTATACTTTCAATAATGTCCCCAACTCTGCCCAACTTACTCCATTCCCTGCTCCTCTCCGCCCCCACAGCCAAAAGGATTTTACTACTGGCTGCTAAGAACGAAGGTCTTTCAACCAGTCCTAATTCTATACTGAAATAAAATTGTCATCATGACAAAAGTGTTGTTAATTCATTAATAAATACAAAATCTCACTATATAGATTTACATGGAGAAGTTTCAAAGTTACTAAGTCAAGGCTGTTAAACGTACGACTCTAAAAGCCTTTTACCTAGACTCATGATATACAGCCCATAGTTCAGGAAAACAATCTACATCAAAGAGGAAATAATTTAGTCAGGACCAGGAGAAAGTACATAGTTCGCAATCAAACTCTAGCGAAAACACTCAACTGAGCTTAATTGAAAATAGAGGACAGGCTTTATTTCATTTAGAAGATATAGTCAAGTCCACTGTAATGTTTTACTCCATAAAGTCTAATAGGCAAAGTTATATAAGAGCAGAATTAATTATTCTAAACTAAAACTTGCTATTTCTCACTGAAGAAAAAGGAAAATATGCATATCATTCCTTTTAGGAAGCTTTAGGCCCCTGCAATTGAATTGAAATAGATTTGGAAATCTTACAGACTGTGATTGCTAAATTTGATTTTTTTTCTTACTTCCTAAAGTGTCAGAGAGGGTATCATTAAATCTCAAAATGAAAATAATTTCAACCCAGTCTCAAAAGCAAATTGAATAATATAATACTTTTATATTTTAAAAAACATTGAGGTTATTATTTATTTTAATAAAACACTGAAACACCAAGAATCAGCATTATAAAGAATTAATCCCTAGATATACTTCCTATATTCAGTTCAACCTTCATTTGACTTCAAAATCCTGAACATTTTATGCCTTCAAAACCATATTTTTAAACACAGTGCCAAGTAGCAGGAATACCATATTCATATATGATTAATATAAAAGAGGACTGTGCCCATTATATGTAAATTATAGAATAATATATGCTTGACAAAGATATTAATGCCAAAAAATAAAAGACAAGTTGCCTATATTATAAAACTTATCTTCTAAAATTAACATACTGGCGTACAAACAGAATAGAATACTAAAGGATGGTTTGGACAAAGAAAATATTCCCAGAGCATAGTTCAGTGGAAAGAGCAGGGTGCTGCATGTAAGACCTGCAGCCTTCCTGCCTCCATGGACTCAGTAGTTTCATCCAGTTCACAGTAAAATGATGACAGGACCATCTAAGCACTATGATTACACATACAGAAGCAGCAGGGATATACAATGATGAAAATATACAAAGATGAAAGTTAATTTACATGTTTTGCTGAAGTCTGAAGTTCATCTTTATCTTTTTAGCAATGGATCATATGTAAAAGCTAATAAATTAACATTGGCTTCTATCATTCAACCAATAAAGCCCTTGCTGAAGTCACCAATGGTCTCCCTGTCAATACATTCAATGAGCATGTTGAATATTCATCTCTTCCGCCTCCTCTGCCGTGTCTAGCACTGTCGATCACTTACTTTCTCCTCTTTTAAGCATCTCCTTTTGCTTTTTTCTACACTACGCTCTTCTGGGTTTTCTCCTACCTCTTGGGCCATTTCTGCTCAGTCTCCCTTGCAGGTTTGTCCTTCTCAATTCAGCCATTAAATGTGGACGGTTTCCAAGGTGCAGTCCTAAGCCGCGATCTCTTTTCATTCTACAATCTCTACTCAAGCAGACACATCCATGCCCAGGATGATTTCTTAATTATTTACAAGCCCACACTGCCCACACCACCCTCACTTTGAGGTTCTGGACCTGTACATCCAATGGCCTACTTGCCGAAAATCAGGATCTTTCTTTTGTTAAATCTTTTCCTTTACCTAGGTTTCAATCTCAGTGAATTGCACCACCATCCATTTAGTTATATGGTCCGGAAGTCATCCTTGAGATTTCCTTCCTCCCTCACCCCTCATATCCAGCCCATCACCAGAATCTGTAGATTTTACCTCCAAATAGCCCTTCAGTTGGTTCATTTCCACTGCTACCGATGTGGACCAAGCTACCATTTGCTCTCACCTAAACCACTGTGATTAGGCACTCAGTCCTCCAATTCATTCTCCAAACAGCAACCATAGTGATTTTTTTTCAAAATACAACTGATTGTGTCATTCAAGTTCTCCTTGATGCCCCAACTCAAAACACTCAATGGCTTCCCAGTAGGCAACTTTAAGATGGACTCTCAAGGCCTTGCATAACTTGAACCCCTGATCTCTTCAACTCTACAGCCTCCTTAAGAATACAATCCAATCAACCTTTTTATTTTTAATTTAAGAGATAAGTCTTGACCTTTCACCCAAGATTGAGTGCAGTGGCACAATTACTGCACTCAAAACCCTGCAGCTTCAAAGCCCTGGGCTCAAGTGATCCTTCCACCTCAGCCTCCAGAGTAGTTAGGACCATAGGCATGTGCTACTGTGCCAGCTCCACTCCCTTTCAATTGCTCTGTCATACCATATTCCCTCCCAACAAGAGTTTTTGCTATTGTCCTTTCTACCTTATCCCCACTCTCTACTCCTCTGAATCATTTCACTTAATTATTCATTCTTCATGTCTCTGCTCAAATTATCCCTTCTTTCACACTTCTTGGCACACATCCCCATCCTCACTTCTATTAAAAGTTCTGGTGTGGTGGCTCACATCTGTAATTCCAGCACTTTGGGAGGTGGAGATGAGAGGACTGCCTGAGTCAGGAGGTTGGAGACACTGGCCTGGGCAAATAGGCGAGACCTTGTCTCTACAGTAAATCAAAAAATTAACCAGGGTGGTGGTGCACACCTGTAGTTCCAGCTATTTGGGAGGCTTAGGTGGAAGGATTGCCTGAGCCCAACAGGTGGAGGCTGTGGTAGCTGTGAGCATACCACTGCACTCTAGCCTGGATGACAGAGTGAGACGCCAACTCAAAAAAAAAAAAAAGTTTGCATTAGACTTCCAGTGTTCAGTTCTGCATGTAAGGAAATTGCCACACCATCCTAATGAATAAAAAGTTGGACAGACTGAAAAATCAACAACTCTTCTTGAATGCATAAGAGAGGGAGGACACACAGCAAACTACTGCCCCTAAAATTGGAGAGACAAAGATAGGGGTAACAGCTTCCTGAAACAGAGATTCAAGGGAAGAAAGGGCATCAAGAACCAGTGCTAGGGAAAGAAAAATTGAACTGTAATTGACAAATCGCTAAAGGCTCAATGTGGATAATGCCAAGAGCTAAAAACTCCAACAGGACTTGGTCATAGTCGGGGTCCCACAATATTGTCAGATTTACTTCCACGAGCTCCA